ATTCTAAAGGACCAATGTCCCAAAGACACAACATCGTTGAATTGTAATGAAAATGAAGAATATACAAACTGTGGTACCGCTTGTCCTGAAACATGTAATTATAAGCCAAAAATGTGTACAGAACAATGTGTTGAAGGTTGTTTCTGCAAGCCTAATTATGTGCGCAAAGATAACAGCACTGATAGCCTCTGTATCGAACGAGATAAATGTTAGAAAAAGTTGGATTGAATAAAAAATTTCTAGTTTAGTGAATATTATTACATTTATTACATTTATAAGAGCAATATATGGAGGGTGATGTTTTTATTGATTTGAATTTTTACATTACAAAGATGAATTATTTTACTGTTTTATTGATAACAGTATTTTTTTGTAGTTGTTAATTGTCATTAACACATAACGGTAACATATAACTCTATCTAAATAAAGAAAACTGTTTTATTTTGATATAGTCCTTGACTTATTTATATCTTTCTTCAATCCTCTAATCTAAATAATAAAAATCGCAATTTCATTTTTATTGTTTTCAAATCAAGTTAATCGTTATGGTACAGATACTCTTGAAATTTCAAGTGTACATCGACTGTTTGTAAAATAGTTGAAAGAAGAGCGACATGAATTGTATATTATACATTCTACCTTTCACCAATCGTTATCAGCCTATTGTGTATGTATACTTTTCTTTCTTCTTTCTCATTTTCATTTTAAATCAAAAAGTCATTTAAAACAAATATCACATTCTATTTACATATTAGATATGACTCTGTCTGCTCATGTCAGTCCATTATTAATCTTATTTCTAACACTTTTCACCATTCAAACACATGGTATTTACATTTGTTATCGAGTTTTTTATTATGAAACGTTGATCTTTTAGGATTTGTATTTGGACGATTACGTTTAGGTGCTCATCAAGAATATCAAGTATGTGGTTCAGCTTGTCCTCTGAACATGTGCTGATGTAAGATATGCAAGATATTTTCAAACCATGTACATATCAATCTGTCCAAGATTACTTTTGTTAACGTGGTTATACTTGAAGATCTCATCCAAGAAGTCATTTTATTCCTGATAGGCAATGTTAACTAAGTTTAACTTTCTTTAAACACGATTATGTATTCAACAGAAAAGACTTATTACTCACTAAAATATTTTTCTAAATTTTAATTGTTTGTTTAAAAAACATAATTAAATGAATATTAAGAAAGATTTTAGAACTCTTAGATCTATACAGAACATCTATAATCATGAAAAAGTAGAACTACTTTTACATGATCAGACTTTCATTTCGTATGAAATGAAATAATTAACAGAGATTTATACATTCTAATACCTTCAATAGAGTTGATTTCTATCGATGTAAAATATATAGTATATTCACTTCGATGGAGCAGCAACTGTCAAGAGAAAAATCTAACTTGCTTTCATTCAATACAATCTTTTGAAAATGAAAAAATATATAAAAATGAAAATCATAATCAAAATGATAAAAAGAATTGAATTAATATGAAGAAATAAATAAATATTTTCTCATTTTATGTACATTAGTGTCTTAGAGTTAAAAATTTAGTAAGAAAAGAAAAATATTTTCAATTGTACTTTTCTATCGATAATACTACTCTGAAGTTCAGCATTTTGAGGTTGTATGAAAAAGATCCATTGTTGAATATTATATATATACATAAGTTGTAATACTATGGGTTTTTTATTTCATAGTAATACTATGAAAAATATAATTTCCTATAGGTTAAATTTTTTAATTGCTTTTTGAGTGATTGTTAGGAAGGACATGATAGTTGTCTGAGAATAGTTTTAAGTCTTTCGCTTTTTAATTAATTCATTCATGTCACGACGTTTCGAAGGACACTGTTCTACTATTTTTTCCCTTGCCTTGTTTTACTACCCCGATCGAAAAAACAAAAAAACAAAAAAGCAAGAAAGAAGAAGAATGTCAATCCTATGATACGATGATATTATAGAAGAACAGAGAGAATCTTCTTATATCAGGAGATGTCTCTCCTGACATAATACCTCTTCTGGTCAGAAGAACTGCATAGTAGAAAAGATCAAATGTAATATTGAATGAAATTAAAGCAAAGTGAAAAAAGAAAAAAATGAATATGTATATTCGAGGTGACTAATGATAGTACGAGAAGTAATGTCGAATATTTAGAAAACTGTGAATTCAAAGTTAATAGAACTAATAAGTAAATGAATCGTAATAAACGAAGGTCACTAAGAGACAAAATATTCAATGGTGACTGATATACAAAATAGAGTGGTTAAAACGTTTCAATCATAAGGAATAGAGAAAGTAGCAATGAATATTAATGAATAATGTAAAAAAAAATGTTTATAATATTGTTAGCTCGTATCCAATGAGCTTCAACTAAGTTTATTTTATTTATATCCCAAAATATCCTTGAATCGTACACATCTATATATATAAAGAAGAATGTTTGTCGGTTTGTCTGTTCGCTATTCACTTGGACACGGTATGAGCAAATGCAATGAAATTTTGCAGGAAATACCCTTTTGCCCAGGGAGAGGTTATAGGGTGGTTTTCGACCCAAAACTTTCGCCTGAGGGGGGGGGGGGGTGATGTTTGCCCCCTCCTTTTGTTGAATTACTATAATAAATGCCTTTTCTAGAGAGTCTGTGCGTGTGATTGTGTCTATCTACAGTAAAACCTCTCTATTCTGAACACCACTGGGACTTTCTGAAATCGTTCATAATTACGGGGTGATCATAAAGGAGGGGATTTTGCAAAAAAACGTTTTTTTAATTTATATCACATGTTTTCATCTTTTCCTATTGTTCAACAGATTTTGTTCATTAGATTTGTACATTCCATATATAATATGAGAAAAAAGTTTTCACTATCAAAATTTTAAGTACGTGGATCAGGTGCATAAAATATTCAGATATGGAATACTATTTGATCTCTGCAAGGTGTATGCCACGTCTTATAAACGTGTGTAATGATATCTTGATCAAATTCATTTTTGAATTTTCTTTTAATCTTTTATTTCTGAGCGATTTGTATTCATCTGTGTTTTCTAATTTTCTTTTTAACATATTTGGAACAGCTCCAATTGAAATATGAAATTTTTCACTTAATAGTCGATGAGAAAGTCCATTTTCTTTCTCTTTTATAAGGTTAATTTTTTGTTCTAAACAAAGTTCATGACGAGTTGACATATTTAATAATTTAACATTAACATATAAACATACAAGACGTAATGCAATTGCGTATAGACGAGATTGAAAATGATTTTTTTTTCTCTATTTCTCTCTAAGCCAATCACAAAACTAGCCAATGAGATACATTGTGTTAATTCAAAGTTTAACGGCGCCCTCAATAACGTTCACATTACAGAGGAAAATTATACAGTTGGGACCATAAAAAAGTGTTCACATTCAGAATCGCGAGGATTTCATTAAGGAGGGGGTCAAAACCAGCAAAAATCGCTCGGGGGGACCGGAGAGCGTTCAGTATGGCAGGTTGATCATTAAGGAGGGGTGTTCAGTAATAGAGGTTTTACTGTATATACCATAAGGAAAAAACGTGCATATGAGTCTTTTTTTCTAGCTCACAATAATGGCATATTCGTTCTTTTTCTTGACTCACAACGATGACGCATCAGTTCTTTTTCCTGACTCATAGTGGTGCCGGATTAGTGATAAAACTGTTTTTCAGTACAGATAGATTTTTTTAAACCTACTGTGTCAAGGATGTGCTATCAAATTTCCCAGGCAACGCCGGGTACCTCCGCTAGTATATAATATATATCGTAAGAGATAAAGAAGAGGAGAAAGAAGAAAAGAAACAACAATAACAATAACAATGACTAGAGAAGAAAGAGAGAGAAATCAAGAACAGCATTGAAGATAAATCATTGCTAACATTTCTTCTCTCTCATATTAAATGTATCTTCACACATCAGTTTTGAGTTCCACAATTTGTTCATGAAAATCAGTTGGATATTTCATATTTGTACTACTTGAAAAATGAATAAATAAACATAATGCTAGTTGTAAATTAATTTATAAATGAATAGGCTTGTTGATGATAATAATTTATTTGTTGTTCTTGTTATTATTAGACGATTTTCAAATGATACATGTTGACATAGGGAGGCCGGAATTTTGGTCCACGAATTTTCCGTCCCGAACTGTCGACCCGATCCGAAATTCCGGTGATTTTTCGTCCCGAGCCGAAAGTCCGAAAAGAATTTCGGATCGAACTTTAATTTATCTAATTAATTTTGTAAACAATTAGTAAACTTCATGATGTTCAGCACTATGCACTTTCAATAAAACGTTGTGCTTGGCAGTATGACATAATGCTTAGCCAGACAGTCTAGTATACAGCACTATGCATATTGATATAATAAATTCTTTTGGCAATTCGGATATTGGTCGAAATATAGGTTAAGTATTCTGTTGACGAAGCTGATGCAATATTTAAGAAATGGATACAGAAGTCAGCAATACGAATTCAGGTGACATGATCATTACAACGTTCTGCTGTATCTGTATATTTCTTTGTCTATTTTATTTAGGAGATATACTGCTAAGCATCATGTCATCATGCCGAGCATTATGTCGCACTGCTGGGCATTATGCCATCTTACTGAACACCATGTCATACTCCCAAGCACAACGTTTTATTGAAAGTGCATAGTGCTGAGCACCATGAAGTTTATTAATTATTTACAAAATTAATTAGATAAATTAAAGTTCGATCCGAAATTCCTTTCGAACTTTCGGCCCGGGACGAAAAATTCGTGGGCCAAAATTCATGTAACCCTTTCAAATATGAAAGAATCATATGAAAGAAAGAAGAAGAAACTAAATGTTTTTTTTTTTTTTTCAAAGCGTTGATCAGCTTCGAGTATTAAGAACGAGATAATAGAGAGAAAAAATGTGGTAACAGATGAACAATCGAATACTGTAAAAAAGAATATTCTAATCATCTCGAGTGGATGCACTGCTGATAAGAAACAAGTATACAGCTGTACTTGACGCGACTTGTTGAGCTTTATGCTCTGAAGTGCGACTCAGGATTTTTGAACATTTTGCAATCGATCTCTAACGCAGCTTCGTATTTGTACATGATTTTGTTTGACTGTCTCGCGAAATGGATTGTAAGAAGTGGATGCTACTTATTATCACGAGTAAATAGAAGAATATTTGGTTATGAAATAAAAAAAGAGAAGTGCATTTCAGCGTGATCGAACACTTCCGTTTGCTGCATTATGCAAATAGCCGACATGACATGTGTGTGTAAACATGGGTAAATAAACGGTATTTGGTATCGTGATGTGACTCACTCATTACATTCATGAACGGTATTATACAGCAAATTAGTAAGAAGTAGACACTACTTATAATCACATGTAAATAGAAGAATATTTGGCTATGAAATAAAAAAAGAGAAGTGCATTTCAGCGTGATCGAGCACTTCCGTTTGCTGCATTATGCAAATAGCCGACATGACATGTGTGTGTAAACATGGGTAAATAAACGGTATTTGGTATCGAGATGTGACTCAATCATTACATTCATGAACGGTGGGGTGTGGGTGTGTGGGTGTGGGTTTGGATGGGTATGGGTGTGTGGGTGGGTGTGGGTGTGAGTGTGGGTGTGGGTAGGTGTGGGGTATGGGTGGGTGAGAGCGTGAGTATTGATATTCTCTTTTCCTACACGCACAGCCACACTCGTCTTCATTATTACTATCAATTTTCATTTTTCCACCGAATAAAAACACATATATGTCTAGGTATAGTAGTATGAAGCAACATTTTCTATGGAAGAAATCATTTTTTCATTATTCGGTTTCATTTTTCATATAGGAGTCTTCACAATTACTGTGATTTTTTTATTTTTGTGGTTGATAAGTATATGGATGAAGAAATTGTTATCTTCGAAGTTTTCTTATAGATGTGAGCCATTTT